TCATCATTAATAGTGTCAATGATAGTGTTCTGATTTCCATCGTTCTCTTATTCCTCGAGTGTTTTACTTTGATAGCGCCAAAAAGTTTTCGTACGTCGGTGATACTAATCGTCATTATTTAAAGTCAAGTGTCTTTTACTGATTTTTGTCCGCATCGTCTATAAAGACGCCGCACTGTACGGCGGGGTGTCGTTGCGCCGCAAGCGAATCCGCGATCCGGGAATGAATATTTTCACGAAAGTTAGTAGTTGCGGTGGTGGCGGTGACGTCACGGGCTGGGCGGCGGGCGCTTGGACCATTTATGGGCGTCCGGCGGAAATTGGAAACTCCCGCCGACAAGCCGCGCACTCCCGATTCACGCGTCGCCGGCGCCGTCTTCTCCGCGTATCCGATTCGCGGCCGTTTTCGCTCCAGGCCACCCCCGCCCCGCCCCTAGATAGCTTCCTTCTTCTTCGCCAAGAGCCGGTTCCATTAAATGGAGATGTTACAAGTGTGAGGAATTTGCGATTTGACTGTTGATTCATAGGTAAAAGTTCGCGAGAAACACGATGGTGCCACTGGTTTTCTCTGAAATCAACTCCCAAGCTAAAAAAAAGCTCTCGAGTTGAGGCCAAAATAGAGGGGATATCCCACGCTATCTTGAGAGTCCACATCTACATCAAGACAAACTATCCATGCAAAGTTAGGGAGCAAATACATTGGCAGTAATGCCGTGTTTTCAGTTTTAGAGTTCCCAAATAAAATGACAGCCCTGTCAATGTATTTGCTCCCTATCTTTGCATGGAGAGAGTTTGTCTTGATGTAGAGGTGGACTCTCAGGATAGCGTGGGATGTCCCCTCCATTTTGGCCTCAACTTGAGAGCTTTTTTTTGAGCTTAGGAGTTGATTTCAGAGAAAACCAGTGGCAACATCGAGTTTCTCGCGAACTTTTACATAAGAATCAATAGTCAAATCGCAAATTCCTTACACATGCTGTTGCATGTGTGAGGTTTCCATTATTCCAGGTCGGAATCCAAGTGCAGGATCAAGAGACAGTCCATTGGCATCTCGGCAATGGTGGGAAGCTTTTACTTCTGGGACTCCAACGTTCAACTGTTGTCTTACCTACCTACTAGGTGGGAGTTGAACAACGTATTGGGTATTTCGTTGGGGAAACACACCGTAGTTCAGTTAGCTTGCTTGGCTCAAACCGAAGCTCATCCACGTAGTAGGTAAGATGACTGTTGCTCCCATACAATTATTGTCAATACGGAAAAGATAACTTCCCGAAAGAATAACTTTACACCTATCGCTAAGCAAGTGGTCATTGGAGGGTCGCGTGTTTCTAGGAACGAGTGTATGACTTACGTTTACGTGGGAGAAACGTTACCACAGCTGTTGTCATACGATCAAACCACGGTATCAATACATTGAGGTCAAATACTGTAATTAGTCGAAGTCATCGAATAGGCCAATCACGATATCTAACCTTAATACATCGATGGCACGATTCGATTGTGACGGTAGCGTCTATAGTCTAGGCATTAGTGGACTTTTGCTGGAAAAACGTGAAGGACTACACCACGGGTGCTTGCCCCCCTAATTTTGGGTCGTAGAATCCGAATTTGAAGGCGCCTCATGGCTGTGAGGCGCTTTCCGCAAAATTGAAAAAACGTTGCCAAATTTCCGTTTTTTCAGTTTTCGGCTTCTAACTTTTTTTGTAATTAAAAAATGTAAATATCATTTGCACGACGTGAAAAAGCATACAATTACAAAGAAATTGGTATATACATGTTCTATTTTAGCATCAAAATTGACAGAACTGCAGCGCATTCGCGGATACGTCATATCCGTGGCTTGCGGAGAGCTCAGAGCGCGCACCGAAGGCTATGCAGCGCGGCTGCCCAACATGACGTTTTATTTCAACCCGCACCCGTTTCATGGCCCTCCTGGCTTATCTCCTGGTTATTTTGTCCCTTGTGGTTCCTCAAATTTCGCTAATGTCATCGACACCAGAGCGCAAGTCTTCCCAGCTCTTTACTGATAACAGTGTCTGGAAGACTCTCGATTTAGCACCTACGTCCATTACCTATAGGGTTGTTCTATCGGCGCGAGCCAACTCACTTGGTTATTATCACCGCTTCAGGAGAGAAAATCATTATTCTGCCCCTCTCTGTACCTGCGAAAGAGGTAATTTCAGTGTTTTCACCATGAGTGTGAAAGCAATGTGTTTCATTTGGCCACTTACAGGTTATTCAGTTCGGGAAGTGAAACGAAAAGGTGTCCAGTCTTTGCGCGCCACAAGTCAAAAGCGAAACGATGGTAAAATTTCATTTTTGGAAGGTCCAAAAACTATTGAAGTACACGAGCGATGTTATAAAAATGAGAAAAATGCCATGGATTGGGGAGGGATGGAGTGAGACTCAAAATGGTTTACTCCCGAACCCAATGGACAAAGCCCCCGCTCCGGAAATACTTCTGAAATTGATTTCATGCAAGTGCAAAGCAGGCTGCGAGGCAGCTTGTGGCTACCGGAAAAGTGGTTTAAATTTCTCTGATATGTTGCCCCTCTGACATAAGGGCGTATCTCTATTTCCACGTGGACCCTGTTGTCCATATAACTCCATGCTTTCCAGGGCTCAAGTCAAAATCGAGATACGCCCTTACGTCAGTGAAGCGACGATGTGTGCCTGCTGCAGTGAATGCGAAAATCAACCCGTGAACTTAGAGCTGGAGGATGAGGATCCGGATGCACCTCTTGAAGAAATGGTCGACGGAGATGACATACTTGACTAAGTGCAGTTTTAGTGCAATTTTATGACGAGTGCAGTTCCGATATCCCAGTATAGCATGCTATATTTTTACTCCATACATACCACATCTTACGTTCAATTTCCTTGTCTTTGGTACGTGAATTTTTCAGTCTCATGACAATAGAATAGCAGTTCCGATATCAGTATGGAATGCGGTGTTCTTCCTCTGAAAATACCACGTCTTTATTACGTTCTCCGTCGAATTTGGTACATGAACTCTTTAGTCTCGTGACAACAGGAGTGCGATCTTAAAATTCGAAAAAAATGACAAGTAGCTGAGATTTTGGTAAGAATGGATGCGATATATCGCACGTCGCTCTGACACAAATAATGGCGTCCGTCGAATTACCTTAAGAGAGAAACCAAACACGCAATTTGCCCTGGAACGGCACGGCGCATAGAGCAAATCATGACGAGGCCTTGAGATGAAAAGGAGAAGCCCTCGGCGCGGCGGTCGGCATGTAACACATACTGGCACCTACAAGACTGCATGAATACTTCACGCATTGCGTCAAACACAGAGCGTTCAGCAGCGGCCGGCGTGAAAAGCATAGCGCCTACACGACTGCATGAATACTTCACGCATTGCGTCAAACACGGAGCGTTCAGCAGCGGTCGGCGAGAGACGCATAGCGCCTACAAGACTAAAGAAATACTTCACGCATTGCGCCAAACACAGTGCGGTAAGCGCGGAGGCGCGGCGGAAGGTAATATGGATTGCATTTTGCAAAAAGGAACCACTAGCATTGCAATGTTGCTAAGATTATGCAACTTCTTTTGTCTTTGAGGAAAACCCCGATTATCCCTTAAAAGTTTCTATTTTACTCGCTAAAAACTGTAAATTTAAGACAAAAATTACCATCTAAATTTCATCGTTTTTCACAATTACCGCAATTTTATTGCAACTGATGAAATTGCACAATCTTAGCATCATTGCAATGCTAGTGGTTCCTTTTCGCAAAATGTAATCCATATTATTGAACCACATTTATGTTTGTTCTTTCATGATTTTTTTGTTCAATACTGATAAATGGAATCCTTCGTTTTTTGGGAACTTAACACTTTACAAAATAAAAACTGTTTCGCCCATGCAACTCAAATTTTCAAGTTAAGTTATTGATAGAATTTTCGAAAGAATTCGGTAAAAACACTGTCCCAATTAAGGTACACACGTTTTTCTGATATGCTACATTGTTTCCAAACAATGTAAAATAGCGTTTTTGCGTTGCATTGATTCAATACTTTTTGTCCTCACAACTAGCGGATATCAAGTAATATGATCAATATATCAGAAAATGAATGGACATAAGTTCAAGTTACGTGAGCTTTATAGAGAATTACAGGAAAATTAGTGAGAAAATGATGCTAACTCCACAACTTTGGCTGTATCTGATCTGCCTGCGATTGATCACTAATTACCTATAATTTGCCATGTCATTAAAAAAACCAATAATGTGTGTATGTGCATGTTCCAACTTGTATGGAGACTTGTTCATAACATAAATTCAGTACTAACAATAAGTACTTGTTAAGTTAAAATTTCTCTGATAATTATGTCCAAAAATGGATTTCAGACGTTTCCAAACTTTGCGGAAAATAATTAGGAGTATTCCACAAAACTGAACATATCATCGTGGGTGAATCTGGCAACATTCAAATTCTCAATCGGCGCATATCCATCGCGCGATCGTGTGAGCCCAAAACCTCTATGAAAAAGGCATCCGCGCAGATTGATGCGACGAATGCACGGAATGAGTGGCGGATCGTTTACCGTCAAGTACTCACGTGTGCCCCCCTCCAAGCACCCCCGGAAGCCGCGGGAGGGGGCAGCGACCCCTTCCGGCGTGGCCGCGGCCCGGAAGCGCCCCCTACCCCCGCATCAAAAGCGAAAAGTGAGAAAAATCATAATTTCGTCGTCAGCCTGAGGGTCCGGCTGTGATGGTCGGTCGTCATCGGGCGAGGGTAGAGGGAGTGGGAAACACTTGTTATTCTTTTTCTTCCCCCGTCGCTTGACCCAAATAGAAAATACCGGCGGAGTGAGGGCCTATTATATTTAGCGCCCCCCACCAGGGCAACGCCTCCCCCGGGCCCCCCACGCCCGGGCGACAGCCGCGGGACAAAACCCGGTCGGCCGGGTCCAGAACGGACTCAGACTCCTTTCTAGCCAGCTCGTGCCCCGTGATAGCATGTAAGTATGATCTATTTTTGTGGAGCCTCGGCCTGAAGCCCTGGCTGGCTCGGCCGCTAAAATTAGCGACTAACCCGTGTGTTTCGCCCGGCGACTCGTTTCGTGGTGTCCCTCTGTGCGAGAGTGCGTCCATTTCCTCCAGGTAATCGCCCTTTTTTTTGGTCCCCCTGGGATCGAACCCGGGACCTCCGTGTGGTGCGTCAGTGCGGGAAAGTGAAATTGGAGTTCGCGCAGCGGTGGCAGCAAGGATAAAGGTCCGACGGTTTGTTCTGTGCTCTACGACGAGGTCCGATGAACTGGACCATCACCTGGACAGTGTTCGGAGAAAAAAAATCCAGTGTTATGGGGGAAGAAGTTCTCCTCGATATTATTACGAGACAGGAACTACTTTAAGGGACGATATAAATAAAGTCGCAAAGGCTTCCTTTTCGATTTCAAACAGAAAAAAGGAATCCTTTTGCGGGATAGGTCTAAGTCAGGCACAAAAATAAAAATTGGCATAGTGACAACCGTTGTGGTCAGATTCACATTTCACTGGAGGAGTAACTTGATCAAGCAGAGATATACTTGAATTTGCCGTCGAAAAAGGTACTTCGTGGTATGAAAATTGAAGTCCGTTCAGCGCAAAGTAAAAATCCCTTCCAGATAAGCCGATACGTTAACGTTGATTCATGGTCACAAAAAAAATGACACTGACAATGTCAAAGTTTTCGATGGATCCGATCTATCCTCGCCTTCGCGAGAAGAAATCGCGATTTTCGGCTTTGAATACAACCGTAGCTGGGATAAGTCACAACAGGCTTGCACTCAGAAAGTTTTTTGTTTTGATTACGACTTCACAAAAAACTTTGTATTGCGAGATAGCACTTCACGCTGTAGTGACATCAAGCTCAAAGCTGATCTATTCCAACGATTATCCCCTTGCTTAGCGGGGGAATCTTCTTCACAGACACTTCAAAAATACCGCCACTTAAATTCGACAGAATAAAATAGGAAAATGTAGGCCAAACGAAGCTGAAATATTAAAACGCCAGAAGAGCAGGACGTTCCGAGCCGTCACTAGCACATTTTTTTAGGCTCATAGTCTTGTTTTCGCCATTCTTTCATTTTTTATTCTACCGTGTTTATGCTTTCGGGCCATGTAATTTGTGCACCATCGTTCCCGCTTCAAATTAGTCCTCTATGATGGCCTGACATTGTAAGGCGCTTCATGATACTCCTTTAGACTGAACTAACCTTGGGAGAAGTTTAAATCTGGATTCGTCGGGGCGCAAAAGAAATACCATCGTAGAATTTACGTTACGGTGGTGCGTAACAAAAGGGAGCTGGTAAACCGTGAGACAACTGGCGGTGTCAGATAGGTCATTTTTCAACGAAATCCAATTCCGTGGCAACTTAAGAGAAATAAAGATAACCTTTCAACCATAAAAGTCATACTTCCAAAACGAAACATTCTTTTAGTGAGAATATTCAAGGGATGAACCACTAGACGGGATAAAAAATTGAGGACCCTTGCTCACGTTTTTTCATTTAACTTTCACCGAGAGCATGGTGAAAAAGCAAACTTTTCCAAATTCAACTCATAATCGATAGGTCATTGTTTCTAATGCCCATAAACTCTAACTCCCTGCTCAACTCCCTGCTCGCCAGAATACCTATAAGCCTAGTTACTACCACCAAATCGGTCACTAGACGAATAACAGTGTGAATAAGTGTGATAGCTCCCTTGTGAATAATCAAGTTCCACCTCGATGGTCGATTTGACCTTGGTTGATTTTGGTTTGTTCACAAGCGGAAAGTTTCACTTTCCTAATGCTTTTAAGAAGAATGGAAATTAACATAGATGCGTTGAAGTGGCCTCGCCACGGGGAAGGGATGGTTTGTGGCGCTGTAGCCCCCCCTCCCTCACAACTAGAAAACTCTCACAAAAAATGCTTCGTTCGTAATACTCACGTGTCTATAAAACATGTCTGGCTACGTCACTAAATATCTTCTTCGAGGGGTGTTTGTTTGTTTGTTTGTTTGTTTGTTTGTTTTTTTTTTTTTTTTTTTTTTTTTTTTTTTTTTTTTTTAACAACTATTTCAACGTGTTTAACGTGAATGAAAAAATTGGGGTGAATTAGTTTTACTATGTTTAGTGGTCGCCTACGCGAACCACTCAACGAGCAGGTCTCTTGGACCACATTTTGCAATAAGGAAGTACTATTACCGGCACATCTTTAAAAGTATCCATCCGTGCACTGTCGTGCTAAGGAGGAACACCGTATGAACATTCGCGAGCATGCCAAATTTCCTCTGATAGAATGTTCATTTTGGCGGAACTTTACGAATATTATTTCTTGAAATTTTCAGGTACTTCAGGTAAAACTGCGAACAAAATTATCTGTAAAATTGGAGGAAAAGTATCTATAAGTTTACCAGGAAATTCGTGTCTTATCAAAGGAAATTTGGCAACGCCTGAAGGTTCATATGGCGTTTTTCCTCAGCCAGGCAGCGCAGGAGGTTAAATGAAACGAATGTTGTTTCTAAAATTAGCTAGACATATTAATTAGTTATTGCAAAATGTAATGCTCTTGGTCCCCTACGAAAAGTTATCCCTTTCAGTGGCGTGGCATGCTTTACGACGTATTGATTGATCTCCCAATTAAAACTAACAAAAAGGATCGATGAACGGGGTAGGTATTCGCAACGACCACCTTAATAATAGATTATTTACCGTAGCTTCAAACGGGTGATCACATCAAAAATTGATCACATCATTCACGCATCGTCACAGTTCCTTTTCCCCAGTATAATGCTCATTAGGGAGAGGGAGGGTAGCAGCTCTGATTGAAAAGAGTGAGATGTTCTGTGAGGTCCGCTTACGGGGCTGTTAAAGCTGCGTTCAGGAAAAATACCGTATGTACGTAGGAAAGTGGCGAAGCCCCCCCTCCCCCCCCCNCAGGATAAAATATTAATGGGAGAAAATGTATCAATATTTATTTATAAAATCTTTAGATGATGTAGATTTGATTGCGAATAAGATCCTTTGCAAACTCTTAAGAAAAATAAACACAAGTTCTTGACGATTTGTACGTTACTGATAGTTTAGCAACGTCAGCAGGCTCACACGGAATATTTTTTTAGTAGTCATCGTAGTTGATAGTAATGCATAGCAAAAAAGCAATAGACATCGATTAAATCTCACTTTCGGCATTGAGAGTGTCTCGTGGTTATCGTTTTGATCAAATTCGATATGACGGAAAATCTTTGGGGTAAAGTCACCACTGATAGCGTCAAATCGATAGCTGATGTCAAATCGAGCCATAAAATCTTCAAGGTCAGGTGTTGTGATCGGCTTATGCGATGACTTGGGCCAATCACATCACTTGGCCGTGATATATTGATTGCATGGTTTGATCGCGTGTGACATGAACTTATGGGAAATCGCTAGGCCACGGGATTGTTTCTTCCTTGAGAACTAATTGCTTTTTCGAAAGTAGGCATACACTTATCTGTTCCTCCACACACATCTATGAATATATCTCAATTTTTGAGCAAAATATGGTTTAATTTACAGATAAAAAGTCGAATAACTGTTGTGGCAATTGAGAGAATTCAGACAGAACTTTCTGAAACGATATTTCCTCGCTCGCGCTATTTGACTGGCTTAGGCAAAATATGATGGTTCCACATCCTTGAACTAACCTTCAAGCCTTGAGGGTTCATGATTAATACATTTTTCGCGTATCCCACAGCAGTTTCCTCGGTTTTCCCCCACGTCGAAAAATTCCATGGTGATTCCCGGTCGTTCACATTGTCAAACGACCCTGATGCATTGGACTAGTAATTTTCACCGCGCGTTAAAAAGTTGTGCAAATGATGCTGCGCACCACTCGTTTGTAACGACAGGATCGATGGAGCTTCACTGTTCGTTAGACTCTTTAACGAGTTTATGTTCTGATAACGGTGATGGGTTTTGAAATGAACTGGGTTTTGACAAGCGCTATCCATGAAGTCGGACGAAACGGAAAGTTCGGCTGCATAAACGTTCAATGCGATCCAATAAAACCCAATTGAAAAATATACGGGTAATAAATCACTGAAAAAAAGTAGCTTGGATCAAGCATGATAATTCTTGAATTTGCCGCCAAGAATTTTTTTTATCTTGCTTTAAGCTGACTTTTTCTTGATTCAAGGAAAATAATGCTTGGGTTAAGCAAAAAAGTAGCTTATATTAACCAGCAAAATTCTTGATTTAAGAAGGAATACTTCTTGGCGGCAAATTTAAGATTTTTTTTTCCAGTGTGGGTGAAATGACCTGGGGTTTGACGAGCGCTATCCATGAAGTCGGACGGAACCGAAAGTTCAGCTGCATAAACGTCTATTGTGATCCAAAACAAACCAATTGAAAAATATACGGGTGATATATAAATCCACCGTGAGTTTCGGAATATTAAAAATCGAGCGTTTTTCGAGATATTCCTCGTCAGTTGTGTTGGTTCCACCTATTTACAAAAATCTGAACAAAACAAGGAATAACAACGAAGAGATCGAGTCATGAGACACTTCATGACGTCATCAGGAGCTTCACGCATGCGCCTAGCCCGCACTGCACGGCGACGCGCACATTCACGTAGGGAAAGACGGGACGGGGTGGGTTGTAATGGGGGAGGGGGAAGGGAGGCGCTTGTATAAGTTTTCATTTGGCCATCTTAAGTCGGAGCGGGCGCGCGCGAGAGTGTCGCGAGAAAAAAGGTTAAGGACATCGTGTTACGGTTTTAGACGGCTCAGATTTAGGGAGAGGGGGTGGCTTTGACGCCTCCATGCATCCCCCCGCCCCCGGCGCCGCGAGGAGATGAAATTCGTGGCAAATTCACTTCACGTGGGCAGAGTTGTCGACCGACCCCGAATTAATAGCGATATTTACAAGCTTGAAGAGGGGACGCCAGCCACGTCACATTTACGTTAATTAGAGCTTTGAAACAAAGGAGAAGAAAAGGTGGCCAAAATACTGTTAAGCACAATGAGAGGATTTTTTTTATTTTGGTCAATCGGAACTTCCCGGATTGTATCCAGAAGGAATTCTTCTTGTGTTAACGGGGCACTCCCTCTTACTTTTTAAACAATTTAAATTCTATCGCGGAAAATGTTGAGGGAAAATTCATTACGATTTATTTAGAATAATTCTCGGTACGGAATATTTCTCGTATTTTTCTCGGGCATGTCATACTCTCAGAAAAGTTTGAACCCGAGCACAATTTCAACATGTTCAGAGCTTGATTCGTTTCCTCCTCAAACTTAGTTTAATGGGATCATTATTTTAAACGAATTAATGGTACATTTCCATCTTCCCATTATTTTTGCTCAAATTTTGAATTATTAGAGAAACTACGCTTACTTGTATTTTTCTTTGAGTGATTTGTGAGGTGAATGGACGCAAAAGATACAGCCAACTGAATACACTTTCGAAGGGGAAATTCCATCAAAAATTACGTTGGCACATCAAAAAAGTTTGAAACACGCTCCTTAGAGCGCAATCTGCATGGTTTGAAACACGCTCTTTCAAGTTTCCCCGCGTCCGCGGGCAGGTTTGCACATAGAAGTAGGAAAGAGCTACCCAAAGGAAACAAACGATTGCTAACTTTTTCTATTGTATAATTTCTTATGCTTTCAAGCAATTGTTTCCTATTTCTTTCGTTATTTTGCAAAAAAACAAAAGCTTTGAAATAAATTGAAATCCCCTGCACTGAAAGTTTATAACAGTTTCAAGAATTGTTCGTTTATTTATGTTGGGTCTCTCTTCGGGCAAACCTGACTGCCAGGCNCGTAGTATCGTTTTTGAAGCGGGAAGCTTAAAAAAACGCAAATTTCTTACGCAGATTGTGAAGTTATGAGTGCATTTCAGACTTTGCCGATGCGCTCATCGTGATTTTTGAGGCATTATCTATAAGAAACAACTCTTATTTTTGCTCTAGCAAAAGTTTGCAACAGGCCCATTGTTCGTTTATTTATGTTGGGTCTCTCTTCGGGCAAACCTGACTGCCAGGCCAGCCACCACGAAGAGCTGCCTGCATACGCGGTAAATTTAAATAGCGTGTTAAAAACTACGAAGATTGCGCACCAGAGAGTGGATTTCAAACTTGTATGATGTGCCCAACGTGATTTTCGAGAGACTTTGACTAATCAAAGTGTATTCAATTGGCTGTACCTCTAGCTTGCGACAGACCCGTCAAATGCGGTGTTAAAAATACCGCAGAATTGCTTCGACCTACAAAATAAGATTTACAAATCGGTTTTTTTCTTTTGATTTCAGAACTAAATACCAACAGCCATGTCGGACGAAGAGGATGTCTATTCGTAAGTTTACACTTAGCATTACTTGCGTGAAATTTTTAAGAAAACTAGGATACGCACATTACCAAGAAGGAATAGAAAGAGACAAAGAAATCATTGATGAAACTCATGATGCGCGTAGAGCAAAACGGGAAAAACAGACAATTATAGAGAAGTGTCAAACTTAAGATTCAGTTTCGTTAAATGGTGGAAATGCATGCATGCTGAACAAGTCAAAATGAGTCGCTAAGATTGAGAACCGTCGTCCGGGAAGACCACAGTGTCATTATTGAAGGAGTGAGCGCACGTGTTTGAAGCTTAAAAAGTTAAAAGTTGAGCATATGCAGTCTCCAAAGTTTCAGAAGAGAAAAAAAAATTGTGGACAAACGGAACGCGAAGCGAACAATGGAAGGAATTTAACATTTTGGGACCTTAAGGTGATGCGCCCCGAGCTCTGAGGGTGATTGAACTGGTGTGGGATGTATCGTGTTTTATCAAGTCGGCAAATTTTGACTTGATATAAAAATAAAAAAAAAAGACGATAGCCCCTGCGCATGATAAAATAATCATGCATTGCGAAAATAATTTCAAAATTCGGATAGACGAACGTAGGATTCAGCTGCGAAAAAAGCATCGGATTTGACCCAGAATCACTCGGTTCGTCGACTGCAATGCTTTGTAGTTTCCGAGGCTACGCCCTGTTTTCATTTTTCAGAATTTCCAAATTTAAGAGGTCGCGAATGATTATTGTGACACATACGCAGGGGGCAGGAATTATCTCTTTTATTTTGAGCTAAAAAGTCAAAAGTTGCAGAGATTAAAAAAAAAATCGGTCCACCGGTTGGACCACACCCTGTACTTGGGACGTATCACTTTAAGGGTTAGCGAGCTGGGTTGGAAGAAGTTAAGCCGAGGATTGCTTTTATTTCATTGTAGATGAGTATGGGAATGACACAAGGTGTTTTAAAGGTGAAACTAAAATCTTCACAATTGAAAAATGCGCTCAGAAAATAATAAAAACAGAGTAATTTTAGAATTCTTTCAGCAGTTTCTACCTATACGACTTGTGCATTGTCAGATCGAGATGCATGTGATGGAGAATGCTGTGATTGTATCCATGTTTGAACTTGAGCTGAGTTTGCAATGATCTGTTCTGTGCGATTTCATAGGGGTTATGCATATTTTGTGGGAATACTGTTGCATGATGACTTGAATTGACATACCGATGAATGCTCGTAACCAACCAAAACGGTTGCGAATAATCTTGCAAATTTTGATCAGAGAGTCAAATTCCGCCGAGGGTAATCATGGTAATACAGTCCCCGCGTTTAGATGCGATTCCCCAAAGAAAGGATCGTTTCAGCTGATTGCTTAAAGGATTTTAGTGGTGAAAACATAGAATAAAATAAATTCCTCGGTGGTTGTTACCCCTCCAAACAAGTATTTGCTATTTAAGAAGGGTAACTGCATTGTTACAATAACATATTTTGTGCGTATTTTCTAAACTTAAAAACTAAAATGTCAAAATGAAAAGTTTTGACCACTGATGATAACCTGATAAGTACCCTCTGAATAAGCTGGATGCGAGCAATTTCATATTGAGGTTAAAATACGATACTTCAGTTATTATATTTAAGTTAAGTTTCAAGGTCGACTTTTCAAAAGCAAGCGGCTCAGAAGAAAATTCCATACATAAAATCGAGAGTGATAAAGGAGGTAAGAGAGAGAGAAAAAAAGTAGAAGAAGAAGAAGAAAAGTACCTGTGGGCTACAAAGGGTAATTCAGATAACCACGCATTAATCTTCAGAATGATTATGTGCCCCTGTACCTTCCGCAAACAAAGCTTCCATGAACACTTACTCTCATATATTTTCGATACATTCCTTTCACTCAAAATTCTTGTTATTCATGTCTAAATTACTGTTTCAGAGAATCCGAGGAGGAAACGTAAGTGTTTCTCAAAATACTATGCGTGTTAACGCTTTCAGCTTCCTCTTCTATCGCAAATTTCATAGACAGTAGAGTTTTGATAGGCCACCAAAACTTCCTCCTACCCTTACAACACTCGAAAGTAGTTGATCCGAACCGGTCGTACCTTACAGTTAGGAAAGAATACAAAAAAAATATGACAACCGACTCAGCCGCACATTGCTTCGTTCCCACTCCCATCTTCCACCTAATTTTCTTAAACCTTTAGACTTTAGAGAATTAACCATCATGTATCACCTTTAGAGTTTCATTAGTCTCCTTAAGCTTTTTTGGTAGCATCGCATCCATTTTCGACTTTTAACATTGGACCGACGACCTCAGAAGTATGAGCATTTTACAGACATTTGCTGCAAAAGACGCAAGAGGGAGGGTGCATTGGGTTCAACCAACACCTGACATCATCACATCAGCAACATTTGAATTTACTATTGACATTTTTTAGTGAAACATAAAGGCCTCTTCGAAAATACCTCCTCCTTAATGGACCGTAGAGATAAACTCGAGTGATAAAAACTCACGATCATTAACAAATGGCAGTCATAAGGGGAAAATTTGCAAACCAGGTTGTCAAATGGTTGCACTGAAAAAATTAAACGGGAGAATTGATATATTTCATTCTACCGGAGGAGTGGGCGCGAATCTTCAAACTGTCATGTTGTCGCTCTTCAAACGTATGGGCTTAAACCAATAATTCACGAAAAAAGACTTGCTTGACTCTACAGTGACGTAAGACTTGAACGTAGAACTATTTTCCTCTACCGGAGGCGGTAGTGACTTTTAATTAATTTTCAGTCAGTATTAGTTGCTTGCAGTGATATTATGTGGATTTGTTTACTTGGATGTATCAAGAGAAAACAAGTTGATCTCGTGACAATCTTTCCAATTTTCCGTGCAGGATGGCTTGTCACGCGGAAAAAAAAAATAGAAAAATGAGTCATTTTGGTAGCAACACCATGTGACCTTGTTTTGATCCGTCCTCCCAAGACTTGGAGGCTCGATTATTTGATGCGCTTACTTTTGGCTTCTTTCAAACCCGGATATTAGTTGGGTGGACTAACAATCGCTAGAGCAGTGGTCCTCCATATGTATTTTGAAACAGTGTCTCAACGGTTTACACAAACGAATCATTAAAAGTTGAGGGCTAAGAAGCATGGAACATGCGATGGAAAAAATGTCATAATTGCGGAACATGCTGAACATCGCAAAAACCTGTGCCTGTTCAATGAACTTGAGCCCTTTCATCAAAACGTAAAAGAAAATAGGAAAAAAGGGAGGGGAGAAGAGGACACTCACCTCAACGTAACACTATGAAGAATTTCTTCTTTTGGCAATGAAGTGAAATGCTATGCAATCTACGGACTTCAGAATCCAACTAAGAATTCGGAGTGGAAGTGGACCCCAAAACGACCAAGAGTCGAGAAAATGTCAAGTGTCCAAATAATGCCAAATGTAACCGATGCTGTAAAGAGCAATGAGAGGTAGTTAAAAGTTAGCTGTCATTTTGGGAAAAAAGGGGGTAGGAGTCAGTCGCAGCTAATATTGAAACATACAATTTGAAAAATAAAATGGAAAAGTGCCGGCAAAACGTTTCAATCCAGCTACCGAGAATACATTGTTTATGTTTCACCGCATGAATGGTGCATTCTCGTAATGCATTTTAATTTCGTCCGGTGAGTCTCCTCCGAATTCGTACTTATCTCACAAGGTCTATATCCAAGACATTTTTAGGAGAACTCGAATGATTTCAAATCAATGGTGTATGAATATTAATTCATACAAAGTTGCGGCCATGGGCGGAACTAGGGAGGGTACATTCCCCCAAGAAATGCACACGGTCGCTCCCAAAAAATAAGAGACGTTATGCTAGGTATAAATGCGGGACGAAACTTACGTTTTTGAGATTGTAGTTCGATCAATTTTATGGTGGGAAAAGTTCAAATTTGCTACTAAGACGACGCTATTTTTCAAAAATTTTCTGAGGAGACCCGTTAGACGCCCTTTTGGAACTGAGAAAATTATGTGAACTCTCCTTTAATGCTGGGGGAGTCCCACGGATCTCTCTGAGTGTTGTGTCTTATAGCACCCCTAGAGCCCCTGATGGGATACCCGTCTGCCCCCCGCAAAATGTTCCTGGTTCCGCCCACGGTCGTGCCGAAACTTTCTACCTCAGTATCGACTTGTCCTAAACACTGACGAGAAACAGCCCATGTAGATAGTTATTTCGTTACTATAGCTTCGCTTGAAAATTTATAACCAGCTGATTTCTTCATCTTTTCGCATTGACATTAATATACTGAATTGCATGCTACTTTATTGAAACACTCAGAACAGTGAGTCAACGTTAAGGAAGTTCCAAATCGAAAAGGAGCTATGACAGCGCTTTACTTAATTTTGCAAAGTCGTTGGATGTAAGCTTCCTTTTCTCCATCGTTTACACGCAGAGAAAAGTGTCATCTGGAAAATTTCCGGAGACGTTTTCCAGGATTTAAATTCTATTTTCGGAATGGCTTCTTGTACAATAATTGAACAGTTCACATTGAAACTTAATAATTCATCAGCATTGGAAACGTTGAACTTTTGGATCATCGAGCATTTTTGATAACTTCACTCTTGATTCAAGAAAATTTAATAGTTTATTCACGATTACATCAATCATCCGGTTGAAACGGTAAGGTTACTAAATTAGGAGGTACCTTTTGACCAATAATATCTGAAATCGAAATTAATAAAAGAGCAATTGATGAAAACCTCTTTAGTTACGATGCGTTCTTATTGTAGAAGTGAAAAAAAAAATCCAACACAGTCATGTGTATCGCTAGGAGCGCACAGAAGATGTGCAAAAAGGAATACTAAATGACTGAGGTCAATTCTTTTGATGGTTCCACACTTACACATGTGTATATGAGACAGAGTCGGTTAACTGTGGCTACTCTCTAAAAATCTGTTTACCCGGTAGACTTTTGAGAGGAAGGGGAGAGATGTTGAAATCAACACTGTCTTCTTGAAAATATTGTTTGACATTTTTGTGGAAGTAATATTTAAGGACGTTGAAGGAAATAAAGAATAAGAACACTAACCGAGACAATTACGATTGTGAGCTGTGTCATGGCAGGGACGAATTGAGTCAAGAATGATTAATATGCTACATTATGACAGATAACTATGGTTAACGAACCGTTGAAAACGGATGTTTATCATCGGAAAACAAAAGGGGAAAAAAGAAAATAAGGAAAAGACAGTTTTAGGACCTTAAGGCCAGATTTGTTTTAAACACGTGGATAGTTTAACAGGAGAGCGCACATTGATACACTTCGAAAGTCATTGACAGAAAATCGTATTAATGATAATTAGGTAAAGAGCCACAAATTTAGAAAAGAGATTAGTTAGGTTCCAAGATTGAGTAGATACTTCCCATTTCGTAGAACAAGAGATCACAACAACACATTTTGAATTTTTAAAACAAACGTTCGTTTATTTTTCTTTCAATTTCGTAATTTTAATCTATTTTTTTATGTAAAGGCAACCAGAGCCTGAGCCTCAAAAGAAGACTGAGTAAGTCTACCTTTTTAAATTACGATATTTTGTGTTTAATTTTTGTAAGTGTATAATTACGCTAATTTTTTGTTTTTTGCAGCGTTATAATTTTTTAAAGGATTTTTTTCTGACGAACGATAATAGCTTTTTTATTTAATTCATGTTGCGTTTTTTTTCTTCAACGTTAATTTTCACGTGTTCGATTTTTGTCACTTTAGACCGCCGCTTAAAGTAGAAACCGTGAAATGTCCTCTAAGTACAGCGTTTTACCCTACAACCCCCTCCTTCCCACATTTACCGTTCTCACCCTCAGAAGTTCAACCGTTTATCATCTTGTTTGTATTAGTCGCTTTAAAGTATGTACTTAGAGCTTATAGATTAGATACTTATTTTTTGGCGAGGAATTCCGCTGAGTTTAGTGAACTACCGCTTACATTTGATCATTTTCTCGTTGACTTTATTTACGTTTAACTCAAGGATATGCAAAAGGAATAATTTGAGAATCTCCACAGTCTGCTGAGGTTCGTTTACAGATAGGTTATAATAATGCTTAGGGATGTAAGACACTGTAGCCTAACGTCATTGGAGACTGGGATGTTCGGTAAAACGTAACGTTTTGTACGTAACGTAACGTAACGGAAAATAACACATCTTACGTAAATCCAGCGAATATTTTGTTCCGCGATTTATTTGAACGTAGGTAGATTGAAAATATCAACGAGGGATCATATGTAGATACCGCCCTAGCTGAAGAAAAGAAGGATTCATCGGGAGAATAATCAATAAATATCACTACAGCAGCTTGTTGTAAAAAGATCGAGATAATTTTTACACGTTCATTGGAAACAGCTGATGTAATAGCCGGAGAGACGCGATGAAAGAATCGATATTCCCACTGGTCGTTGATTTATTGCGAAAGCTTATCACAAACTTTTAGCGGTAATCGTCTTACGGGATAAATAGTTAGAGGTGCTGGACAGAATGCAGTTACCAGTGGCAAAATACAAATGCAATATCGATCTCCAGAAGTTAATACTATAATCGGCGAAAAATACATTTTTTGAACCGACTTATTTCATTTTTCCTCATTTTCGGAGATAGAATTACGAGAGGAACAGTTCTCAGTAGCGCAAACTGAGTCAGGGAAAGGCGGTGACAATACAGAAAATTTGTGGGAACCAACGAAGACCTTCTTGATACGCTCATCCTGGTTTTCGGGCTGATAATTGAAATTGGTGGACAAATACAGCAAAAGGATAATGGGGCGATTCTAGGGGTGGAAGTGGGTTGTTGAAATGGAAAAAGAAGGTAAGGATGCGGCACGAGAGACCCCATGATTAGTCCATTATTTCCCTCCTTAGTCTGTAACAACCACCCATTTCAACCACAGGATCGCTCCATTTTATCTATCACTCACTGGATGAAAAAAGAAACACATTGGATCTAGAGTCCAGACTCTTGAAAACATTGACAAGAAAAAGGACTATTGATTCAATCAGATTTAAGCTTAAATCAAAAGGAAATCCGCTCAAATTAAGAGGCTTGGTTCTTGATTTAAGCTAAAATCTGATTGAATCAAGAGCATTTTTTCTTGTCGATGTTTTTAAGAGTCTGGACTCTAGATCCAATGTGTTTTTTTTCCCGTGATATTATTCACCACTTTGTTTCTTAAATTCGATCATCGACAAGCAATACCCCGTGAAGAGCGATTCTAACTGACGAGTTAGAATCGCAAACTGTATCGAAACTTTCAGTGCAGAGATATCTGTCCTAAAAGTTTGCGGCCAACCTTTTCTGCTTTGTCCGACGATCCCGCATTAAGAGCCGGGGAAGGGAAGGACTACGGATTCTACAGGGTGTCCCAGGAATAAGTACGAATATTGGAGGAGTCTCTTCTTTAGGTCACGAGAAGATGGTTTCGTGGTATACCTTTTTTCCAAAAACTCTTTCTCTGGGGGCCACCCCCCACCCCCTTCCCGCGCTCCATTCAGTCCCTATCATCTCGAAAACCATAAATCATTGCGAAAAAATGCAAGATACATTATCTCAATATTTTGCAACGTTGAAGCTAATGATGCCGTCAAAAATCAATTTCTGTCGCTAGAAACATTAATTTTGTCCACTTTTAGGTTCGATGCCCCCCTCAAATTGAGTTTTCCATTTTCTGGAGGTAAAAAATAAAAATAACGCCAAAAATTACCCCCAATAACTAATTTTCATTAATATTGGTTGATATAAACATTGCCGTAGTGTTGAAAAGCTGAATCCTTTTCTCCAACTTTAGGGGGTCGTGGCCCCCAGGGGAGGCGTTTTTGGGGAGAAAATTATACCACAAAAACGTCTTTTTTGGACCCAAAAAGTGGACTCCTTCAATATTCGTACTTAATCCTGGGACACCCTGTACATAAAAAAAGATAAAATTAATGAATTGGCCAATTACTCATTCTTTTGTAGGCCCGGTCTACGGGACGATCGCGCGTTTAGGCATGGAATCGCGGGCGAAGTTTTAAAAATAGACGGAAAAAATAAACACCTCGTCCGCGCGACGAGACGTGGGAGATCAACAGAAAAATATCATGATTGTAATCGACGGATATAAGAATAACTCAAAACTGAGGGAAAAGTTTCGCGCCTGACATTCGATGTTGTCGGATTTTGGAGAGAGAGGGAAAAAAAACGCTGAACGCAACATTTAACGCGCTTGCTCCGTTACTGATACGGGAGGATTCACACGGGAGTAGATGCATTACACACAAAACAAATCGAATTCTTAAAAATCACGTCGAGAAATTCTCAATTTTTAGGAACTGGTCTGCGTATAAAAATTAGAATTACTGCAACGGGTAAAGATAATAATAACATGGATGCTATAGTGGGAGATTAATAGTATAATAGTAGATAGTTAAAAAATATCAAGACTGATGTCAAATAACCGTCTGAGGATGGATTATTCTACTTCAATCAAAGGGAAAATCAAAGGGGATGAATACAAAAATTGCCATATGATTCAGGCGTATTGTACGAAAAAGTGTTATAAAATGAACCATAGGTTACTTATAAAAACGTTATGCACTATGATTTGAAGTTGGCTGCTGAATTTAAGGACTTTCTGCAATCTTGGGGCTGTTGAATAATAAGGGCTTTGTATCGTAACTAAACGGTGATAACACTTAGCAGTAGAGCAAGGCCATGTCAATATGATATTGAACTCAATGAGTACATGAATCTTTCGATTACATATCGGAAAAAATAAGCATATGGTTAGCATCAATTTTTTCTTGGAATTCAACGAGAAGTGATAACTGCCTTGAGCATTGCAAACGATGTTTCAATGTCAAGTAAACCCACAGATTTAGCTTAAAAACTGCTGAAAGCGAACTGAAACGGTGACTGTTCAGAAGACGGTTGTAAAGATTTTACGACTTTGTCTTCAGGAATGCTGAGCTAATTTGGTTCATCATTGTTAACACACACAGGGCCGTTGGAAATTACTCATACTTAGTCAAATATTGCGACACTGGGAGAAGGGAGACGAAGTTTTCTGAGGCGCTAGCGACAGTGGGGGAATACACGCTCGCATCTAGTGACCTAGTCTCAGCAGCAATCGTGTGAAAATAAATCCCTCAAAAAAGATTCTCGAAGTTATGATGTGAAAACGCGCTTTCTTTCACTCAGTGTCGCTCCGCTTACGTTGACAAAGAGACGTAAATAATTTTCACGTAACCCCAAGGCAGCAGGAAGAAACACATACGCCAGGGTTTACCTAAAAATGCAATTAGTCGTGTGTGTCAGCAAAGAGAAACTGAGTTTCGAACCTTCGAAAACGACGTATCGTTCATCCCAGTATTATAGGTCATTGAAAAGCAACTAGTGAAAGGAGTCATCTCAATAGCAATGGTCAAATGAGTTGAAATCGGCAGATAATTTTGATGAAAGTGACGATTGTGGAGGAGACAGAGGTTAAGTCTTCCTGTCTTAAGTATTTAACACGCACAACAAAAATGTTGTCGAAACGAACCTGCAGTTATTGCATTCCGATGTTGTTAAGGAGAAGTCGTCTGAACAAAAAGAGCGTTAGTCAAAACATTTGGATAAATTATCTTCCCAAGGCCAAGATGTAAAGCAGAGACAAAGATGCTCAAAGTCAGAGGTAGGAAATCCTCGATTCTTCGGCAAAAATGAGTTCAAGGAACTAATATTTTTATGCTGCATACTCAACATATGTAGGCGTATTAGGACCATGTTACTGTCTCCATATTTTATTTTAAAGAAAAATTATGATTTCTGTACAGAAGACCAATTAACCAATAAAATTCAAAAAAAAAAAAAAAACCGTCTCCAGATCCGGTGGATGTTTGGTGGTAATGCAAAACATTACTAGCCACAGTCGCATGATACAACGCGAATCAATAATGATTACTCAGATCAGATTACTAGCCTATGCCACATGCAGTTTCAGAGTTGGTTTTATGGTTAATGTTTCGGTCTTTATTTATACATGTTTTCTTCGGACAAGACATCAAATAAATGAAGAATCAGGAAAAAGACAAATTTCACCATACCCTGTTTCAACACACTGTGCACGATTTTTAAGGATGTAAATGACGCCAATCGTGGAAAAACCATAACTTTGAAAAGTACACAGATATTTTCTGTTTCGAGCAAAAATGTGTATAACTCGAGCCATTTAATGTCGATTTATACGCTTGGAAAGTCGATTCAAGCATTACATTTTGTGTGTTGAAAATGAAGACGGATTAAAACGCGCTGTTGCCATTTTTTGAAAAGAACATCTAGACTTACAACTTATGAAGTACATGCTATATTTCCGCGGACAATAACCTCGAAGGGTCGCCGAGTCTAAAAAAACCGAAGTCACCGCTTATTCTTAGAGGGAGGATAACACGATCAATTGAGGAAGAGGGGGTATTATCATTATTTTAAATAAATGAAGCAAAATGATCGCCATGTCGTCCAGACTCGCCTAATTTGTCATTACTTTTCCTGACAGACCTACG